ACCCAAACTGTGTTAGCGGTGAGCAGGAATCTAGGGATAAAAACCTGGGAAGATCCCTGTCTCGTACAATGTGGGGAAAATGTTAGGGAAGGAATCTCATTCTGAGAACCCTTAGTGTAAAGAGTGCACTGCCTTGCTGGTGAGTGACAAATGAAAGGATGGGTCTCTGTTCAGAAGAAACCTGGAAACAAATTAATGGGGGCAAAATTGAGCTTAGAGGCTAAGCTTTCAGTATTGAGAGTTGGGTGAAGTTTGGCGATATCACAGACTCAGGATTGCTGTTGAAGCAAAACAGGAGAAGCTGCAGTGTTAGGCTGCATTTTCAAGGCAAAAGTCTATGATCCTGGGCCTGGATGAAACTGGGTCTTGCTGGGAGCCCCTGAAGCCTTCCAGGGAGGGTGTGCATACTTTCACATCTGGCTCCTGTGTGCTAATTTTATCCTCCAAAGGGAATAGGTTCTGAGTGGGATATAGGGCAAAAGCAAAGCCTGAAATGGAAGCCAGTTGTTTGCTATTTCAGTTTGAGTGATTTAGAACAGCCTCAGAATAAGCAGAGCTCAGGGTAGGGTGTTTGGGAGGAAAGTAACGATGTGCAGAATTGGTTAAAGGAATAAAGAAATATCTTTGGGGTTTTCTTCTTACCAAAGTCCCACTGCCTCAGGAGGTGCCCCAAGTGGGCAGGTTCCATGCTTTGGATCCTAGCCTGGAGGCTACTCAGTTCCTGTGGGATCTGGCTGAAGGCAGCCTTCTGATGAGGGAGCAACAATGTCAGAGCAACTAAGACATGTTGCTTTGGCTCCAGAGGTGTGGATCTGAGCTGTGCTGACTTCAATTTGTGCACCCAACCCATGCAAGCCATGAGTCTGGTTTGTAGCTTGCAGAGTCTGGGGGTGCAGGTCTGTGGGTTTGTGATGCAGTTCATGGGGTTGGAATTGGGCGACAAGAGCATGGAGAGGGCATAGCACCAGTCCAGGTTGCCCAGTGAGGTTTTTCTTTCCTTTCTGGCACTTGGTAGGGGAAGATACCAGGGAGCTGCAAGGAAAGGAGTTCCCGTGCTGTGTGTTGTGTGGGAGTTGGTTCCTAGGGCAGAGTACACTGCTGCCAGGGAGCCAGGGGAACTGAGGGGAGGTGAGAAATTAAAAGCAGAGACCAGGAGGAGAGGCAGCGCAGGAGCCAGACAGACTGTTCCAGCCGAGAGGGATCCCCTCCCTGCAGACCTGTATGCAGCCAGGGGTGCGTGCAGTACTCATTGTGCTGTACCCATAGCGTTGCTTGCACAAGGATGCTCACTCTGCAGGCGTACTTGGTGTTGCATGCACAGGGGTTTAAATGCTGTGACACACACATGAGACAACCTGCAGAGGACACATAATTCTCTGTGGCATCTCACAAATGCACTCATGTTTTCAGCAAAGATCAGATTTGCACACGGACACACTGTTCCCCCTATATATAATATAGCACTTGGATGTAGACATGTACACATACATGTTCCATGCATCAATACCTGCATTCCATTGCCCACAGCAGGCACATGCACAGCACCAGAGGCCACACATTCCTGAATACCCATGTGCACACATGACACCACATTGGCCGTGTTGCCCCCTTTCAGCACTATCCCATGCAGATGGACACACTCATGGCAATACTGACAGACATTCATGGTTTAGTGGCTTCCAGGTCTCCTTGCTTGCCAGCATAAAACTGGCATGTGAAGGTGAGGCAAGCACATCCCTGTGGTGAACACCACACTGATGTACATGTGCAAACACACATACGCATCCCCCTTGGCTTCTGTTTGCCTTGCTTTTGCTCTCCTTTTCCTTCTGTTTTGCCAGTTATGGTGCTTCTTCCATGCCCCTGAAGCACAGGAGCAGATGGTTTGGAGGTCAGTTTAGGATGATGTTCCTTTTCCACTAGTGGCTCTCTTGAGCTGCTTAGCTCAGTAATAAGTATCTCAGAGATGAAGATCTCCCTTGCCTATCCACAGCGACACCTCTGTTATCTCTCTGCACCTATTAGAAATCTTGGGTCCAAAAGCCTCTTCCGACTGCCTTCATGACCCCACTTTAACCTAAGTAGCATCTCAGGCTGTGGTGGCTTTTCCAGGTTCAGCAGCATCAGTTAGCTTTGACCAAATGAGGCAACTCCATCTCCTCTGTGCTTTGTATACGTGTCTTGCTGAGCCCCAGAAAGACTCCCTCACTTGTCCTCTTTCAGCCTGCATTATTCATCTCCTGTAATGCACAATGAATGTTTGTGGGAAGAGCCATGCAGGTACAACTGAGCACAGTGCCGAGGAACAGACGTTCCTAGCAGGCTGAAATTGCCTGGGTGCATGGGCCAAGTTGAGATGAGAGAGGGGAAATTTTTACTCCTTCTAAGTGCTTCTGAAAAGCCAGTGGTGGAGGTAGAGAGGAAGAGGGGCTGGTTTGGAGGGGTTGAGGTGGTGGTGGTGGCTTCTTTAGCCTCCTCTAATGGTACTGCATGAACATGTGTGTGGTACATATGTGGGAAGGTGGGAGTGCTCTGGAGGAAGGTTTGAAGTAGGTGGCGTTGGGGAGCAGAGTCTACATGCCTCAGTAACAGTGGGGAAGGTGTATGTGCACCCGCTGGGGAAGGGCTGGGGGTATTCTGTGGAGAGCTGTGGGAACAGGGTGCTGGGCACACAATGTGTGCGAGGGCAGGATGCTCCTGGAAGAGGCTATTACAGTGTACACGTTACTGAGGTCTGTCTGTATGTCCAATAGCACCAGACAGAGCTTGGGGGACTCCATTTTTCCTCGGTGTGGCTGGAGCTAAACCTGACTGCAACTCCTGCATTGCCTTCGTCCAATCCACCCTGATGCCAGCCTCTTTGTGTCTATGGGCTCTTCCTTTTGTGCCAATACCCACTGCTCCCAGTATAGCTACAGACCCCTGTACCACATGCCTGTGGTTGCACCCACATCAGCTGCTCTTCCTCCCCCCTTGAAACCCTATGTTTTCCCATGCCTCTCCCATATTCCAGTGGTACACAGTACACAGGCTTGCCCTGATGCTGAACCCTGATCACTCTCAGTCATTGATAGCAGTATCATGCTGTGACACTACCGTGCTTGTTAAACAAGTCTGGCAGAGTGCTTGCTGTGCCATTCCTGGTGCCAGGCCAAACTCCTCTCCTTCCATCACTCCTCCTTACCCACCTTGCACATCTCCTTGTCTCTCCTGGGGCTTGGGAGGAAGCTGGTGCCATCCTGGCCAAATCTCTGCTTCTCATAAGGGTTTATCTACTTCTTCACCATGCTTAGGTTTTGCAGTCACGTCCCCTGGTGCCAGCATCAGCCAATTTCAGAGCACTCGGGGCTGGAGGGACCTTGCACTCTTCTTTGCATGCAAATTATGCACATCTAATGCCAGAAGAAAGGAGAAAAGGAGAAGGGATGAGTGTGGATGCTCTTGCAGGCTTTCTGCTCCAGAGACCTTGCTCCCAGGAGCTGCAACATGTGTCAGCAGACAGACACATGGGCTTTGCTGGGAGGTGGTAGAATGGGGAGAACTAGAGAAAGTGCAGAAAAAGGGGAAGATCTCGGAGATGGAGGCAGTTTAAGCAGAGCTGGTGTGGCAGTGGTGTGTGTGTGTGCACACCCATGCAGGTACATAGAACAATACAGCTGTCCCCGAAGTGAGTTCCAGCTTCATAACTTTGAAGAATGTCATTTTTGGGGTGTTGAGTGATGCTGGCTGGCTGCATTTCACGTGTAGCTTCTGTTTGTCTGCCTGTGCTGGATGTAGATGAGTATTTGTGTTTTCCATGTGACAGAATATGGCTGGTGTTTGATGGTGCTGGGGCTAGCGTTTAGGATCCATCAGGATGGTATGCTGCTGTGTGGGCTGAGTTAGGTGGGTAACTATCTGATGCGATCAGTTTGTATGCTGCAGGCGATTCGTAAGCGTAGTACATTTGTGTGTGATAGGCAGCTAGTGCTGCTTGCTTGACTTATGTTCCTAAGCGCGTGGAGATGTTTTAAGCGCTTTTGTTTTCTTACAGATGTACGTGTTGTGATTTGTTGGTGCAGTGTTTGCGCTGATATAGATGGTGTGTATGCGTGTGTGTGTACACATGGGCACTTTTTATGGTCTTTGATGTGGAGGTGGGCTGATTAAATGGTGTGCATCTGTTTGGTGACAGTTATATGTAAGTGGCCGGGAGTTTTCATGTGGTAGGTATGTTCAAACATCCAGCATGCAGCTGTGCAGTGGTCAGTATTCGCTGTGCTGTACAGAGGTGGAACAGGCTGGGTGGAGTTAATGTGGTTGTGTGGTGGTTGTCTGAAACACCACGTATGCAGGTTAATACAGCTGTGCAACCCCGTTGGTGCAGGACGCACATGAAGAAAAGGAACACTACACGCCTTGAAAGGACCCTGAATGTTTGGGGGATGTATTCAGGGTGATGCATGAGGGCATGAAAAGGCCGGTGTGTTTGCATACAGCATGTGTGTAGCAGTCTGAGCGTCAACAGTGTAGTTGCAGGGGGGTGATGTGAGCAGGGCCAGGAGGCAGCCTGCCTGCGTGTGTGCGGCCACGTGTGTAGGCGCACTTCACCTTCCCCCTGCACAGGGCCAGGGGCTGTCTCCTGTTTGCATGCAGCGGGACAGATAGACTCTTAGGAAACAGCCCATCCTCTTCCCATCCTTTAGATCTGCTTCCATCTGTCTGTCTGTCTGCCCTGCTGCCTCTGTCCAGTTGTCTGTGCCCATCACCACCAGTACGCCCTGAGCAGCTCACACCCCACACTGCCTGTGGACTCAGCAGCTGTGCATCTCTCCGTCCCTCCCACACACACACATTCACATGCACACGCACCCTGGATCTTCATCTGTGGTATATTCAGTTGCCATTGGAAACCTAAGAAAGAAGTGAATCTACCCTCCAAGTCTTAAGCTGGTGATTTTTTTCCCTTTTTTTTTTTTTCCTCCTTTTTTTTTCCCTCCCCTTTCCTCCTCTCCTCACAGAAGGCGAAGTCGTTCGCAATGAATCCATGGCAGCTTCGATCGAGTGGTGAGCTGAAGCACCTACTCACAGGCCACTCCTTGATGTGACTGAAGAGAGGCCTTTCCCAGCACTCGCCGAGGAGAGCAGAGCCCTGGATTTACCTCCTGCACACCCTGGCACCCCCAGCACTGGCACCGCGAGGTAAGCACCTATGTCTGTGCACCTCTATCCATCCCTGCTTCTTCCCCAGAGGAGTGAGGAAGGGGAAAAGCAGGGGTTTCTGCTGTGCTGTGAACAAAATATAGGCATCCATCAGCCTCCCTCCAACTCCCCCCCCGTCGTTATGGAGAGCTGCTCCCCCTCTCCAACCCCCTTTCCCTGCAGCTCTGCATGCCTGTGCAGGGAAGGGGATGTTTGCCGAGCAGCAGGGCTCCCCTGCGCGCAGTCCCGAGTGCTTTCCCCTCCTTTCCCATCCCTCCCTTGGCACACACCTGTCTGCTCTTCTGCCCACAGCATTTCCCTGCCCTCCCCCTGTTTCCTGGGAGAAGGGGCAGCCGGGCTGACGCTGCTGCAGCGGAGCATCAAGCTGCTTTGGCCAGCAGCATGGCTGGGCTCCGCGGCCCTGGAATGAGTCCCCCTGGGGATGCAGCTTGCAGCAAAGCAGCAGTGGGCATCACAGTGCCGGGAGCGGGGCGTGCAAGGGACGGGCTCTCCCTCCCTCCTCGTCTCACGGATATTTTGAGTATCCCAGCTCCCCACGGAGGGCACTGGCCTCCATTTCCTAGCCAGGTATCTCCTCTGAATACCCAGACCAACCTGGCACAGCTTTGGGGATGATGGGCGTGCTCTTTGTCGCTGCTTAGCTGCTGTCCCCTGGTGATCCTGCCCAGCCAGGAGGGATGTTTTCCTCCTGGAGACAGCGTGTTTCATAAGCTGGGAACACCGTGTGCCATGCACAGGCAGTGGAGGTGCCCTGTGCCAAGCCTGACCCATTTTGGGGCGCAAAGCTCTTGGGAGCACCTGAAAGGGCCTCCCGCTGCCTAGGGCTGCCCTTTCGCAGCTCCTCTGCTGGGAAGGCAGGAGGATCAGCCTCACTAGTTCCATGGCATGTCTCTGTGCTGCTGATGCTGCTGCAGCGTGGGGATGGGAGCAGGGAGCAGATGTTTCTCCCATCGCCTGGGCAGGCCCAGATGCGCTGCTGGCCCTCGAGGAGCACGGGCGTGCCTGGAGATGCCTTTCCCCAGAATAAGACCCCAAAGCAATGAGCTGCTGGCAAGGCGGCAGGCAGAAGGCGTGCTGAGAGTGGGGTTTAGAGGGGAGGTTTGGGGGTTTGCACCTGCCAGGCTGTGGATTCAGGCTCTGAACAGGCTCTGGGAGTTTCTGTGTCAGGTTTTGGGGCTGCTGCTTTTCTTCAAGGGGAAGGGCCAGTAGGATCTGTGTTGTTGCATACTGGTGTGGTGTCTCCTGAAGGAGGTGAAGAGTTGCTCCTCTCCTGCGCAGGTCCCACCTGGTGATGCTGGCAAGAAGGGTGCATCTTCCTCTGCATCTCCCCTACTGCTATGGCAGGACCCTGCCATCAGCCCTCACTTCTTTGATGCCCCCTCTCTGACTACCCTGACATCTACCCTTCCACTTGAACTGCTGCCTTCAACTTCTGTCCAGTGTTCTTCCTCTTTGGGGGTACTTACAAACTGATTTTCCTTCCTTCAACATCACCCCTTCCTCACTCCCTCTCCTGCACTCCCCATCTCTTGTGACCCCTCAGTGCAGGAGCAGGAGCAGATTTGGGCATCCTCAGGAAGGGCTGATGTCCCCTGGCAGGATTGTTTCTGATTGCTGCTGCCAGCTGACAATACTGTGAAGTGATCTTTTCCCCTGTGGTTCACACCCTTCGGTGCGTGAGCGTGTGTGTGTTACGGGTGATGGAATGACTGTAGCGATGCTGATGTGTCACTGCTCCTCTTGGCCGGGGCCTGGCAGGGAGCAACACTGTGCAGTCGCTCTCAGTTTCTTTACTGGGGAGTTTGCAGAAAGCAAACTCTTCCCTGATGGAGCCTCCGAAGCCATTTGGCATTGTTTTAATTCCTCAGCCCTCTCAGGACATGGCTTTGGCACTGGCTCAGGGTGGACAAGACAATAAATCCAGCTCTAGGGAGCTTGGTACTGGGTCAAAACTGCTGCTGCTGCGTGGTAGAAAATGCTGATCCTGTATGAACTCACTCTGCTGCTTAGATTTGTTTAGAAAACAATGTTGGCTTAACTCTGTACTGGCAAGGTTTATGTTGCACTGGGTAATATCTCTCTGCACAACTCTAGCTGGATGCTGGCTCAAGTGTTTGTCCTTCCACATCTGGCACGTCTCCGGATCACGTGTGCTTTGGCTAATCTGACAGACGCAATTGCACACCGTAGCCAGCCAGGTTGAGTCCCTCCTGTTGGGCAAGCTGGTTTGAAAGAGGGTTAAATTACTGTCTTAGCATGGGGCAAGCCATACCTCACACCAGGCAGCTGCCCTCCCCTTTCAGGAATTACAACAGCTCTGGTCTCCCAGGTGTCTTGAGAAGGGATGCATGGCAAGGCAGAAACCCAGCTTTCTGTATCTCTTTCTCTCCTAGCACCAGCCTGGGGCCAGGGAGATCCTAGAGAGACAAGTATGTCCTCTGGCTGGTGGCCACGGCTCTGCCTGGCTGTCCCCAAGGGTTTTTCAGCGGTGTCACGCACTGAAAAGGGCTGTCCACTGTCCTGGAGAGCATGTGTGCAGGGATGAGAGGATGCCAGCTGGGAGGAGGACAGGCTTCATGCTGAAAAGGAAGGGAAGTGTTGTGTCAACAAGAGGATGCTGCTCTCTAGCCCTCACCATCGCACAGACCCATGATCAGTGCATGGGGCCTGGGAGAAGTGTTATCTGTCCTCATAGGATCATGTTGACAGGAAATGAGGTTACACCATGGATGGAAGGCAAGGTGCTCACGTGGGACAGTGTACAAGCAAAACCCCCTCCTCTTACGGCAGGGACTTATTCCAGGTTGGTCACTCGGGTGCTTGTGTTGCTGAGGGAGGTTGAGTTGAAGGGAGGGAAAGGGCAGGAAGGTGATGAGAGATGGTTAACATCATGATTGTGTGTGGACATGTGCAAGTCTCTGGTGATGAGGAGGAGCATTTGCTGACCAGGTTTTGCAGTCTGAAGCCAGCTTTACTTTAAAGCCCAGCAAGATTAATTTCTGGGGTTGAAGGCAAGAGATGGCACTGCCTACAAAGATTTGTTGCTGAGGACTCCCGAACACTGATCCCAGCAAGAACTTTCAGGGGTCACTGTGCTGTGCCTCAGTTTCCCCTACCTTTATGTGGGACATGGTGTCACCACAAGAGGTGGAGAGGAGCTGAATGGGGAGGAGGGATGTGAAGGGCTGCTTACTGTTTGCATGGTGCTTCAGGTAGCACAGAGGGGTGCTGTTTGGAAAGCTGCAGCCTGTGAACTCTGCTGACATGGCTGCACGCTGACGTTCACAGCGGGCTGGATGCTGGAGGAGCATCCGTAATGACTAGGGTGCTGTGTGCCAGGGCCAAAGCAGCGATTCACTCAAGCCTCTGTTTGTTTGGGAAGAGAAAGGGAGTTTGTGGCTTGTCACTTAGGAAACAGAGTGGGGATTCAGCAGCGGAGGGCAGGCTTCATGGATGGGCCTCCCCAAGCATCCACGCTGCGTATCTGTGTATGTGTGTCAGGGGAGAAAAAGGGACCCTGGTACAGGCCATGACTACTGGCCAGCCATCCCCAGCCCTGTCATTTTACCTCCCCCTTGTACCCCTGCACAGAGATGACAGGCTCAAGATGCACACACGGGACAGACCCATAAGCGTGAGAAGAGGGAGAGAAGTAAAAGCCTTCGTAGAAGAGCAGCTGGATGGGATTCATGCTACTTCCCTGCCTGGCTTAGCCCATGTGTGGTAGCACAGCACCTGTGTCCATGCTGCTTCATCCCAACCCAAGCAGGCACCTTCAGCAGGGTTGTTCCTGGTGTGTGGGGCTGGGTCACAGGCTGGGAGGTCACGTTGGGCTAACTCAGGAGATGATGTCTTCCTCCCCTGAGCTCCTCCCTCATCTCATTTTTGCTGTGCTTCTTCAGGTGTGAGCCCTGCCTTGTTTCTTGGAGGTAGAGACCTGCAGGTAGTGGAGGGAGGTGTCATGGAGGGAAAGGAGATTGTGAGGCACATAGGAATATGGATGGGATGGAGACACTGAGAAAGAGGAAAGACTTGAGAGCAAATGGGCAGAAGCAGAAAATGAAGGGAAGGGTGGTGAGGGAGGCAAGAAGAAAGCAGCATGTCTCTGTGGTGATGATGTGGTGTGGTAGTCTCTTACACAGACACTTCAAGCTGGAGCTCTACCTGACTATTTTCGTACCAGGCATGGAGTGTGGCAGGAAAGCCAGCTCTCCATGGGGTACCACTCACCTCCCATCCACCTTCTTAACACAGAGAATAACCAGCCTGAGACGCTTCTGCTCTGAGTTGTCCTCTGTGGCTGTCTTCTGTGGATGTTTCTCTGCTCTTGATAAGGAGGAGAAGCCCTCCCCATGTCCAGTGTCCTCCTGGCCCTAGCCCTGTGGAGTCATAGGTGAGTGTGCTGCTCTGAGAGTGTGCTGCCCAGCACTGCTGGGAATTGTCTTGCTCTGTACTGGAGGGATGTTGGTGATGTCTTAGAGCCAAAGAACTTGCCTTTAGACTGCTTATGGCCACATTACTTCACATAGGGAATGAACTCGATGTGCTACATGAGGCAGATTTTTCTCTACAGTTGCCCCATCAACATGTCCCCTAAGAACTGAATAGCAGCAGTTAGATGAGAGGTGTTTATGGAAGTTTCTACCACCTGTATGAAATATACTTGAGAACATATCTGTCCGGTCTGTATGCCAGGTCTGTCACAGGGTAGGTAGATTTCATGCAGGTGTTCTTAGTGTCTTTTTGATGTGAGTGTGGCAATTTCCAGAAGCTGGATTACCTGCATTGTCTTGCAGACAGGCTTGCAGGTGAGCATGTACCCACAGCGGTCATATGGTCACTGTGGTGTGTTCACTGTGACACAAACCTGTAGGTGCTTCAGGCACATGTTTAGCTTCCTCCACATCCCCATGTGGCAGGACCAATGGCCCATGTGGCTTGAAGTCAGTGGCATATCAGGGCCATCAGACTGTGCCCTC